AAACAGTGAAGATTGGAACAATTGGTTGTTAATTTGCAAATTGACTGTTCATTGTTTGATTATCAGAATTTACTGAGATAGTCTGTAATGTTTAATTAAATACATTCCATTGTCCCCAACCAGTGTTCTGTTTATTACAATAGTTCTAGGAGCTTTCGATTGTAGAATGCTTAGTTATGTATGCTGATAGTTTTCAACGAAGAAATAAATCTCGGTGTTCAATCATGTACATGAATTAAACGTGTAAACTATGTATTATTTAAATTATCTTCATATTGATAATGATAAACAGTGATTTTGTACGAAGAATGGGAGTCACATGATGCTAATTATGAGATAGCTTTTAAGTTTATTATGGGGGAAAAAAAGTACATCTAACCATAGTATTCCAGGATAAAGTGACTGTTCTGGATTCCACTATTAGTCACAGATTCACGATATTAAAACTTGTAATCAGTCTACCATTTTGAAACAGCAAGGTTTTTGTTTGTTGTTAAATAAATAACAAGTACTTGTTTAATGATGTATATTGGTACTAATGTATTTCTACCTAAGGTAACCTTTTAAAAATGTTGTTGTTTATCAAAATGTATTTGAAAATTCGATTATATTCGATGACAAACATTTTTAGTATGTACTTTTAAATTGAATAAAAGGTAATAATCATAATATCTACAGAATTTTCAATACAAATGTCAAGGCAGTTCTATTGTATGGAGAGGACACCTGGAGAACTACGAAAGCCATCATCCAGAAGATACAAGTGTTTATTAACAACAGTCTACGCCAAATACACCGGATCTGTTGGCCGGACACTATCAGCAACAACCTAGTGTGGGAGAGAACAAACTAGATTCCAGCGGAGGAAGAAATCAAGAAGAAGAGCTGGAAGTGGATAGGATACACATGGACGAAAGCACCGAAATGCGTCACAGTGCAAACCCTCACATGGAATCCTCAAGGTCAAAGGTGAAGAGGAAAACCAAAGAACACATTACGCCGAGAAATGGAGACAGATACGAGAAGTATTAACAAAAATTGGATAGAAGTAGAAAGAAGGCCTAGGACAAAGTGGGTTTGAGAATTCTGACCGACGGCATATGCTCGATTGGGAGTAACACGCGTAAGTAAGTAAGCAATCACAATATCTATCTTGTTAACTGTACACATTCAGAATAAAATTAACATTTTTTTCGAATCAGTCACTATCAAGATTTGAATAGGAGGGAAATGGATGACTTTGATTTTTTAAAAATCCTATGGCGGACTGAGTAATGAATGCCGATTAACATATTGCTTCTAGAGTTGGGAGAAGATATGAAAAAGATGAATAGTAGCTGGAAACAAGTTGAAAGGATGGCACAAAAAAGATTAGATGGCGAATGCTAAAGGTTGGCCTATGCTCCTCCATGAGTGGTGGCAGCGTAAGTAAGTTCTTAAAACACACTATCAACCCCGTTATACTGAAAATGTTTTTGTACATAAATAACATAGTCAATCTCAGAACTGAGGATCATAATATCTGAAAATTAGATGCTTGTTAGACAAGAGAATGATCCAGACCATTTAAAATTTTTCAAATTTAATATAAGTAATCGATATTTGCTCAACTCAATTTTTGACTCAAGTTTGACTAAAATCTAATTAAGTAATAGAAAGTTTTCGTCAAATTTGTCAACATTATAGACCTAAAAGGAATCAGAGAGGTTCATGTGAATATTTGTGAATCATTGCTTTAAAACATGTAGACTACTTGGTTGGTATCCGCACCAATATCGTAATCAATGGTTGAAGAGTCTGAATGACATGGCTCAGAATTGATCACAATGAGGTAGGCGCATACACTCGCTGTGTTCTCTTAACCCCCCTTCCAGCCATAGTAACATGGTGAAGTCTAGTAGGCTCTTCTGGAAAAGAATGCTACATCGATGCACGACACAACTATCGAGGCTCAATAGCTGTGTTTGCATTGCTTACGCAGTGTCATTACATTTTTCTTTCTTTCTGTTTTTTTGAGCAGTTTTTTTTCTTTCCCTCAAACCGTGTGATTAAAATTGCTTTATATATTTCTTTCTATCAACTAATTCTTTCTTCCTGTACTATATCCTTATACAGAATTTTTTTTATACATTACTACCAAAGAAGTAACCACTACTATGAATTCAGTGTTCATCTTTTTGTGTTAATGAGATGCGGCAACTTGGACCGATGCATATGTGTGCCTGGTCCTACATTGTAGCTGACTAACTAACTGACTGATTGCCTCAAAACGAATATTATAACACTTTACATTTCTCAAAAGAGTAGTATATAGTGAACTTTCAAGTATTACAACATATTTACCACATTACAATTGTTATCTCTAATGTATTAATCATGACAGTGAATAAATTTACCCAATAATTCCCGAGATACATTCAGTGCTCATAATAAAATACTTAAAGGGGTAACACAATCTAAATACACTACTTCAAAACATTCTTTACATTGAATAACATAACATTCCTCTATCAATTGTAACTTGAATGTTTCTTGAATATAGGTAACGAAATCTTGAGATATTCTCTCCTACAAGGAATTGTATCTTTTAAATGTCAATTCCCCAAAATACAACATATAAAGAAGGAAATCAATGTTGAAATTCATTTATTAATTCAAAGTGATTTTTGTTCGGTTAACTTTAATTGTATATTGAATAAATGAACGTGATCACAAATATCCTAAGAGTCAATCAACAGTATTTGTTCAGAATTAATTTGTTTGTTTCTCAATAGATTTTAATTATATTAATTCAATCACTATTATATTGAGTTCAGTAAAAAAAAATTAATGAATTTTAAAAGAATCTTAATTTAAATGTCATTCTACACAGTGATATATAAACGATTTATAAACTTGAATATAATTTAATTCTCCAAGGATCTTTATCAAGAAATTTCTCTATCAGAAAGGGATTTGTGGAGATTTCAGTATATTTCAAAGTTGAAATCGTGAGTCAATTAAAGCTAGATCACCATGGAAAACCTGGAAACACTGGACGGCCATTTCGTCCTATTATGGGACTCTTCGACAGTGAGCACCCACGATCCCGCACTCACGAGATTCGAACCCAGGACCTACCATTTACGAGCCAGAGCTCTTAACCGACCATTCACCAATTGTCTTCAGTGAGTTGTTATCTAACAACAGACGTGGTTGAACTCCACTGATCACTGCTTCCCACTAGAACTCCAGGACATGTATCTTGAAGTCAGTCACTAGTGAGCTAATGATTATAATCAGAAGGGGATTTGTGGAGATTTCAGTATATTTCAAAGTTGAAATCAAAAGTCGATTGAATCTAGACCACCATAATAGGACGAAACGGCCGTACAGTGCTTCCAGGTTTTCGATGGTGTTCTAGCTTCAATTGACTCATGATTTCAACTTTGAAATTTCTCTATACAAACTTGAACAGTTGTCAACCAGAGGAAATGAAGATATTCATGTAGTATCCCAAATTAAATAAAATGAGGCATTTATACTATTAGATTCCAGCTTAGTAGTCTTGAGGTTATGCGCTCTATGAGTGACCTGTGTGTTCTGTATACGATTCCAGTACTGAACACTCCTGAGGAGTTAAATGAAAAGACGAAATATCTTTCCAGGGTCGGTTTTCAATGGTTATGTAACTGAACCTACTCCCTAATTTAAATATAAAGAAATTAACCATTAACTAAATGGTAGTTTTCTAAAATTAATCTCTTTATCAAGATTGGGTAACAGATTAGATTATGTTTCTTTTTTATCATTAATATTAAATTAACATATTACTCAAAAGGAGTCAAAATTTATATCAAACCTAATCGTAATTATTATCACTTCGTTATTTATGGAAGAAAAATCTCAGAGAAATTCTTTGTTGAATAATCTAACTTTCTTTCATTTCTAGAGATTACGGTACTTTTTTTTTGTTTTGCTGAAACGAACACTGATATTTACTTTCAGAAAGGGTTTTTGCGGAGATTTCAGTGTTTCCATAGTTGTCAGCGTGAGTCAATTGAATCTAGACCACCATGGAAAACCTAGAAGTACTGGATGGTCGTTTCGTCCTAATGTGGGACCTTCAGCAGTGCGTATCCACGATCCCGCCTCAAGAGATTCGAACCCAGGACTTACCAGTCTCACTCTAGAGCACTTAACCAATAGATCAATGAGCGAGGATAACATCGGACATTTGATGAACGGTTGCTCAACTTCGTGGATTAGTTGGAGTTAGACATAAGCACCATGGGATGCCGTCTCAGTGATCTATTGGTTAAGTGCTCTGGCGCGAGACTGGTAGGTCCTGGGTTCGAATCTCACGAGGCGGGATCGTGGATGCACACCGCTTAGGAGTCTTAGGAGTTTTAATTGACTCACGCTTTCAACTGATATTTATCATTACCTATTTATGTGGAAATTTTCTTTAAAACAAATAAAAAACAAACATTTACAAATAAACAAAATTGATTTGTTTTTTTTTGTTTTAAATTAACAACAAAAATAACCGTAACAACTAAATAAAATCAATATTGAATAAATGACATATTTTAAATCAATAAATTCATAGAGTAATCATTGTAAAAAAAATTTTCAGAAAACAAAAAAAAACAAAATGTAAATCAATATCATAAGAAAAATCATTAGTTGACACATGTATACAAATATTTATATATATATATATCAGGGTGGAGAAGATTTATAGCTCAGGTGGATGGAGTTTTGTTCTTTGAGCCGGAAAGAACAAAAACTTCATCAAAATATATCAGTGTTTATCTGCATTCGATCTGAGTAACATATATTTATTGTGCATAGAAACATTTAGTTTATATCTATTTTTTGTTTGTTTTTGTTTTTCTTCTTTAGTAACCAAGGGAAAACAAAAAAAATGAAAAAAAATTTTTATTAGTAATTAATTTTACACTTTGAAGTGACATTAATTATATTAATTAAGTAAAATTGAGTTAGTTGTCATAGTTACAGGATTCATATTTTCTCTTTCATTTGTTTTTTGGCATTTTGTTGTTGATTTTGTACAATCATTCTTTAGTATAATGAAACATTGTGATTTGTTTTATTGATCCGTGAACCTGTCAAAGTTAAAATAAATAATTTATTTAAATATTTTATAAAACTTCGATTCTAAGGTATAATTGAAAGCACTGGAAGCACTGCTTCCAGGTTTTCCATGGTAGTCTAGCTTCAATTGACTAATGATTTCAACTATGCAAATACTGAAATCTTCACAAAACGCCTTCTAATCTAAGGAATATGTAAATTATATACATATATATTATTTCAGTTTATCATCTTAGTTCACAGGCACGAATAACTAAAGCGTATCATCAATGATAATGACATTGATTGATTCAAATCCCTATTGTATAGATAGTAGTGGTCCTTTCACGTTTATAGATGCTTATTGTTTACAAGTACTTAACTTAATGAAAACTAGATCTGAAATTTCCTATAAACTATCCAAAACCATCATTAATGTCTTTCATAATCATTATATGAAACTTAAAACAACTGTCAACTAATTCCAAAGTGAGAATCTTCAATAAGAACGTCAAGACAGTCAGTTCTACTGTACGGAGCTGAAACGTGCAGAACTACTACATCCATCGTCAAGAAGGTACAAGTATTTGTAAACAGTTGTCTACTCAAAATACCCAACATTCACTGACCAAATACTATCAGCAACAGCGTTTAATGAGAGAGGACAAACCAGTATGTGCCAGCTGAATAGGAAATTAGGAGAAGATGTTGGAAGTGGATAGGACATACATTAAGGAAATCACCAATGTGCATCAAGAGGCAATCCCTAACTTGGAATGGTGAAGGGAAGCGGAAATGAGGAAGGTCAAAGAAAACACTACGTCGGGAAATAGAAGCAGATATGAAAAGGATGAATGTTAACTGGAAATAAGTAGAAAGGATTGGTGAGGACAGGGTTAGATGGGGAATGTTGGTGTGTGGCCTATGCTCCTGGACCAGGGTTAACAGGCTTAAATAAGGAAGTGATCTTAATTTTTGTTATCCATTTATAATGTATTTTATCAGAACTACAAAAATACTTCAAATTATGAATAATAATGGAAGTTATCATTTTTGTTATTCTGCTGTTTCATGTAATAAATGATCACTTGTCGAAGGTGGAATTTAGGACTGTCAGTTAAATTTCTATTTAGAACTTATATTTCTGTAACTTTTATTAGGATAACTTTATGAGAATTTTAGTTTATAGTGAATGAGAACACAAAATAGCAACAGTCGGATGTATGTGAACACAAAATTACAGAGAACCATACTAGTAAATACTTTATTTGTAAAATGTTAGTCAATTGTCTGGAACTTGACTGTTTCTTCTGCAAATATCAGTCAATCGTCTTAAACTTTGATGTTCCTGCATTTCCATAAAAATTGCTTTCTGTTTTCGTTCTTTCCTTCTTGATCTTCTTGACCTTCTGCTATCAAACATTCTATTCCTACCTACCGTTATGTACTAATTATGTCGAAATAAGTAGAAGACACCACAGTTTATTTAACTTTTCGAACATGTTCGGTACTTGTAAACGTATAACGGACGGAAACTCTTTACTCTCAAACATTTAAGCGGTTCTTTAGTTTACACTAGTTAGTAATGAATGTTAACTTTTAAATGTTTTCTACCCATATCTTTCTCCATTACATATAAATATGTAAATATTTCGTGACATCTTTTTCCGTTTATACAATCACATGTCTACGAGCAAGCAAGGATGAAGCCCTCTGATTAGTTGGATTCGCCCATCCACATGAAGACCATAATAGGTAATCTATCCATCATTTGTTGTGTAAGTATTGGTTTAGATGAGAGAATCATATGCAACTTAGCTTAGTAAAATGTCCTTCATTAGATCTTTCAAGTAAAGGTGTTAGAATGTCACAGGCTATATCCTTTTTTAAAATCAAATTTGAGATAAAGGGTTTCCTTTCTGAATGCGTCGCACTTTGTCCAATTTTATTATACTCTAATAAATTAATGTTGACTAGCTTTTTCATGATAACCGTCATGTTGTAACGTATTCTTTATTTAATCTATTTCATCTACATTATCTTCAGAGAAGATAAGTTTGACTTTATGTCTGAGACTTTTACCCTGGTGATTTACATAAATCCGGTTATTCCAGCAAGTAACATTTATCTTAACGTGATCATTTGAATAAACAAGTTCTGTCATAGCAACTACGAACACATTCAAAGAAAGGAAAAGTTGTTAAATCTTACGTACCTAATTTTTTTTTAAAAACTATGTCGATATAGTACAGTCTTATTCTGTTATTCTTGTTTAATTAGGTCATTATCACTTTGAATTTATAATGTTTACTAGGATTATACATTACTGATGACGGTAACTTGTTGCGGGTTTCTTTATTTATCGGTTTATACGTCATTAAAAACACAAATGTAGCAAACAGGGAAATGTGTTTGTTTAGACATATGGTATTGTTTACCTTCATCTTTTGAATTATAATCATAATAACATTTTTCGTTGTTGTTTTCTTAGTGGGTTGTAACAAGTTTATCAAAGATAATCATAACTAATGGCATGTTTTTAATTTATAGAATTGATAAATAAAGGTTTTAACAGATATAGGCTGTGACAGGATTCGAACCTAAAACAACATGAACTCTAGTAATTAGGTTACAATTCCTAATCATAATATAATCATTATCATAATAAATCTTTGAACTATCCCTAAATGCCCTGGTACAGCCGAGAGTGGGGAGAGTCAGCACTCCCTCTCGAAATGCTCTCATATGGACAGCTAATATATAGCCTCTGCCAGGGAAGTCCTACTCACTGCCTTCTCGTGCCACAGGTGTTGTTTACGAAATTGAGAAGACGAAAAGCAAATGTCCAGCACTATAACCGGTTGGTGGACACGGCGAGTTCACCTAAGTAAGTTTGAAAACCCTGATTCCAAAGTAATGGTGCATATGGGCCTCAGCATCCTAAGGGGAAAAATGGTGTATGAATCAATTGTTGGTCACCGGCTACCATGGGACTGCATCTCCTTACGATGCTCTACCGCCTTGTGGATCAGACCTTTAGGTCAAAGGTTCTGGATATATTCTCCTAAGAAAACCACCTACTTCGGTTTGGGCACCTGTGCAGTATCACAGCCCTCACACAAATCCAATGAGATTTGTGTGGCACACATGTATCTGGTGCCTCCTTGTACCAATATTTATGTGTCTAAATAAATAATAAATAAATAGAACTTGATACAAAGCCCATATAAATTATAATTATTCAAATAAATTCGATGGTTTTGCGTGGTATTCGTTCTCTTTTTCAATATTACCTTAGACGATGCCATTTTCAGGACAAAATCTTATTTATGTGAAAAGGAATCAGTATATGTTTGTGTCCGTTGTCATGTCAACAGTATATACATGAATGTCTTTTTCTCTTTGACATATCGACGAAGTAAAGTTCGGAGATAATTTTTTTTAAGAGTATTGTATGTGGAATTCTGGAGAAGGACTTTTTTTTCACTAGAATTCCATATTGTTCAGTATGTTAACAATAAACTCATTTGATTAAGAATTAAATTTTAATCAATGAAAGAAAATCCCCATTAAAAGAGATAAAGAGTTAGTGTCATTTCTTTTTCATACCACCCCATACTTATATCATTTGAAACCGTCAATAACTTTTCTTCTACAAGATTCTATACAAAATAAATGAGCATTGACATTTTATGGGTTGGATTAGGAATAACTAGGAGACTGTTATAGAGAAGATTTTTAATGATTTGATGAATCAATGCTTTTTACTGTCAAAATCAGTGAATAAAATGCTAATTGATAGGTGAACTTGTGGAGATAGAACCTTAAAACCTATTTTGTAAATAATTTTTCATAGTTTTCGCATGTATTTTCATATTCTGTACATTAAGCATTAAACAATTGTACTTGTTGTTTAACTGTATTACTTTGAACGCTTGTAACTCGACTTCCTTCCGTTTTGAGTACAACATATCGTGACACTGTTACTGCTTCTCAATAAATACACTCTAATTCACATCTGCATCGTTCTGCCATGTCTGCTAATATGTTGAATGAAATATTAATTGCATACCATCTACGTTTATAGACAACTGCGACATTCTTATTGAATTCTACGCTTGGTAAACCTACTGGATCTATATCGTCCATATTGGGATTACTAATTTTTTATAATTGTGGATTATTTGGACCAAACACAGCCGAACACGCAATAGCCTGAAGACTTAAGTAACGTCCCTTATTTTGTTATTTGTGTGTGTAATTAACTTATTAACTGTTAATTGTTACATAAACTATAGACATAATATTTTTGTTGCTAATTTTTGGTTATCATACATTTTGGTCCACCACAAACTCAATGGTATAATGTGTTCGAGTAATAGCTAATCATTAGCTTATATTACTGGCTTAAGCCCTCAAAAAGATTAGAAACTAAAGATAATGCCACTAGTTCAATGAATAGATTTTCAATGTAATAAGACGATATGTTTTTACACATAATATGAGACCGCAATAAACATAGATGATTAAGGGAAGTTAGCTCATAGATCATTCGTTATTAAATCAATTGCGACCTGACTGTTTTTGTTCAGTTTCGAGTAACATGTTGCTCAATGATTCACCTGAAAACATACATGTAGTTATGTTAAATCCAAAGGATATGAACTATATAAATATATATGACAATATCTACATATAAATATCATCAACAAAAACTTACATTACTTTGATCCGTATTCTGTTTTGCTGTAATAATTCGATCAATTCTTCTTTGGAACATACTATAACATAATCAATACATAATAAATGAAAGGAATAAATACTTAATATGATCCACAAATTGATAACAAAATTGATTGAAATGGTTGTTCTTTTGAGTAAGAAAACTACTTACTTACTTACACCTGTTACCCCTCGTCCAGGAGCAAAGACCACCCACCAGCATTCTCCATCCAACTCTGTCCTAAAAAGTCCTTTCCAGTTTTTTACAGTTAACATTCATCCTTTTCATATCCGCTTCTATTTCCCGACGTAATGTGTTCCTTCGCCTTCCTCGTTTCCACTTGCCTTCACTATTACAAGTTAGGGATTGCCTTGTGATGCAGTTTGGTGATTTCCTTAATGTATGTCCTATCCACTTCCAACCTCTTTTCCTAATTTCCTCTTTATCTGGAATCTGGTTTGTCCTCTCATTAAACGCTGTTGCTGATAGTATTTGGTCAGTGAATATTGGGTATTTTGAGTAGACAACTGTTTACAAATACTTGTACCTTCTTGACGATGGATGTAGTAGTTCTGCACGTTTCAGCTCCGTGCAGTAGAACTGACTGTCTTGACGTTCTTATTGAAGATTCTCACTTTGGAATTAGTTGACAGTTGTTTTGAGTTCCACATGTTGTTCAATTGTAGGAATGCTGATCTTGCCTTGACAGTCCTCGCCTTTACATGTGCATCCAATCCTCCTTATCATCAATGATGCTTCCCAGGTATGTGAATGTTTTCACCTCTTCCATAGTTTCTCCATCAAGTTTTATTGTATTGTTGTTCTCCGTGTTGCATTTGATGATCTTACTTTTTACTTTGTATATGTTGAGGCCTATTGATGCAGAGGCTGGTGCTACATTTACTGTCTTCGTCTAACCCAGCGGTGAACAACTACATAAATTAAATAGTTTCACAAACTTTCTACAATCATGCTGACCTTGTCAATTTTTATGAACATTATGTCTGAAGGCTATATGTTAAGTATCATCAACACATACTGATTTTTAACTCTTCCTGTAATCGACCATACTTTTCCACTCAACTGTCATTATTTACTTCTATGTTTGTCTTGGAGACCAATTATTTTTGGAAACCAATATTGTCCTATTTTATTTTATTCATTATATTCTTTAATCACAATAAATCGTATCAAGTTCACGGTATCAAGTGACTATTGATTTCAATCCAAAGACAATAAACAACTACAGTCATTTGTTTTATTTAGAAATCAAGACAAAAAATAAATTTTCTGTCAAGGTTTCCATTGTTATTTGTTCTTTCATTAAACTTTGATGACCTCATCTGTCATTGTTTGTTTTTTTCCTTAAATGAAATGTATAAGAGTATTGGCAGATAAACTATTGGGAATTATCAAGTCTTGAAAGGAAATATCAACTAATTGTGTTTCTTTTATTTAAAATGATGATACAACCATGATAAGAGTCGAAAAAAAATCCCATTGTTCATATACCATTGATGTAATAGAGGAATTGATCTCATTTCATAGTTGGTTTCTAAAACAAATAAAGTCATATTGAAAGACAGATTTTTATTCATAGAACCGAATATTTAGTCAAAATGTTAAGTCATTTCAATGAAATAGGGTCTGTAATATGGATCTCCTAGATTAAAGGTAAATTAGTAGTGTTTAGGGTTCTTGATATTGACAACAGACAGTTGAACAGGAAAACACCTCATTCTTGTTTTAAACTGTAATACACACTACTGATTGGCTTATAAAATGAAATACAGGCTAATATGGTTTATCTACTCCATAGTGTTTAATGTATTTTGATGATTATGTGATAATCGCATGACCAAATGTCTTAGATTAAAATTGTAGTTTGGGTAATGTGTGTGAGCTGCTGATTGGTCTCATACCAGAACAAAACAGTTTCAGTTGGTTAACGACAAAGTATCTCATGACACGGATGTAAAACGTTCAGTCGACGAGTTTGTATTCAATCAATAATGACTGAAACACAGTGGTGAAATTGTAGGATATAGTATTAAAGTTCACTTGATAATGTTTATTTGAATCTTCCCATTGATGTTTAGGACTACAATTGATCAGTCTCCTATTGGCTTATGTGCATACTGAGCGGATTGCCTCAATATTGCCTTAATTCACAAACATTATAAGCAAAGATGGATAGTGGCTAGCAGTGGAATCCATTCCACAAACAAGTGGCTTTCAGGACTCAGTGGCTTAGTGAACTACGCGATGGTGTTTGATGCGACTTTAATTGAACAATGAAGTTATACATTGTAGGTATCATTACCAAGTTTTGAATTGATAATTTTGAATAAATTGAGCATTGGGTGGATTGTTATAAATACGCTATTGATGACGATGTTAAGTTGTTAACCATGACATTAATCGGGAATGGTTATCCACTTAAATTTATCAATAGATGGAAAGTTATGGGCACAGCGAGACCTGCTGTAGCCTTGGTAGAGAAAAAGCCTGTTTACATCACCTTACCATTTAGAGGTGATTCAAATAGCCTTTTACTGAAACAAAGGCTTAAATCAGTCATCAACAAAACATATTGTGCAGCAAGGGTCATTACTTACTTACTTACGCCTGTTGCCCCTCGTCGAGGAACATAGGCCGCTCACCAGCATTCTCCATCCAACTCTGTCCTGAGCCTTCCTTTCCAGTTCTTTCCAGTCAACATTCAGCCTTTTCATATCCGCTTCTATTTCCCGACGTAGTGTGTTCTTTGGCCTTCCTCTTTTCCGCTTCCCTTCACCATTCCAAGTTAGGGATTGAGTCGTGATGCACATTGGTGATTTCCTTAATGTATGTCTGATCCACTTCCAACGTCTTTTTCCAATTTCCTCTTCAGCTGGAACCTGCTGGTTTGTCCTCTCCCATAAAACGATGTTGCTGATAGTATTTGGTCAGTGGATGTTGAGTATTTTGAGTAGACAACTGTTTACAAATACTTGTACCTTCTTGACGATGGATGTAGTAGTTCTGCACGTTTCAGCTCCGTACAGTAGAACTGACTGTCTTGACGTTCGTATTAAAGATTCTCACCTTGAAATTGGTTGAGAGTTGTTTTGAGTTCCATATGTTCTTCAATTGCAGAAATGCTGCCCTTGCTTTGCCAATCCTCGCCTTTACATCAGCATCCGATCCTCCTTGTTTATCAACGATGCTCCCCAGGTACTTAAATGTTTCCACCTCTTCCAGGGTTTCGCCATCAAGTGTGATTGGGTTGGTGTTCTCCGTGTTGCATTTGAGAATCTTGCTTTTTCCTTTGTGAATGTGGAGACCTATCGATGCGGAGGCTGCTGCTACATTTGCTGTCTTCATCTGCATTTGTTCGTGTGTATGAGAGAGGAGGGCTAGGTCATCTGCGAAGTCCAAATCATCTAATTGATTCTGAGAAGTCCATTGTATTCCGTATTTCCTTTCAGATGTCGAATTTTTCATAATCCAGTCAATCACTAGAAGTAAGAGGAATGGGGAGAGTAGACAGCATTGTCTGACTTTGGTCCTTACTGGAAATGCATCTGTCAGCTGTCCTCCATGCACCACTTTGCACTGTAGTCCATCGTATGAGTTTTGGATAATGTTGACAATCTTTTCAGGAACTCCATAGTGTTGAAGAAGTTGCCATAATGTTCTCCTGTCCACGCTGTCAAACGCCTTCTCATAGTCAATGAAGTTGACGTATAGTGATGAGTTCCACTCAACTGATTGTTCAACGATGATCCGTAGTGTCGCAATCTGGTCTGTGCACGACCGATCCTTACGGAATCCAGCCTGATGATCCCTTAGTTCGGCGTCCACTGTGTCTTTCATCCGATTCAGCAGCACTCTGTTGGAGACTTTTCCTGGTACTGATAACAAACTGATGCCTCTGTAGTTCTCACATTTGCTCAGATCTCCTTTCTTTGGTATCTTGATGAGATATCCTTCTTTGCAGTCCGTTGGCACTTGTTCCTCTTCCCAAATCTTTTTGAATAGAAGGTGAAGCATGTTTGCAGTTATTTCAATGTCTGACTTCAGTGCTTCTGCTGGTATATTGTCAGGTCCTGCCGCCTTCCCACTTTTGATTTGTCTGATGGCCATCTCGACCTCTTCGATCGTTGGTGGAGTGACATCAATTGGAAGGTCAGTGTGAGCTGCTTCGATGTTCGGTGGATTCAATGGGGCTGGTCTATTCAGCAGTTCCTCGAAGTATTCTGCCCATCTTTTCCTCTGTTCTTGAATCTCAGTGATTGTCCTTCCTTCTTTGTCCTTGACTGGTCTCTCTGGTTTGCTATATCTCCCTGCCAATTTTTTCGTTGTATCATATAGTTGTTTCATATTCCCTTCTCTTGCAGCTTTTTCCGCCGCCGTTGCTAGTTCTCCCATGTATTTCTGCTTGTCGGCTTTAATGCTTTTCTTCACTCCCCTGTTTGCTTCTGCGTAGTCTGCTTGTGCTTTGACTTTCTCTGCTCGTGTTCGGCTGTTGTTATTTGCTAGTTTATTGTTCTCCTTTTCTTGAATTTTGTTCAGGTTTCCCATAGAGATCCATTCCTTGTGATGGTGCTTCTTAGGACCAAGAACCTCCTGACACGTTGAAGTTAGTGCTTCTTTGATCCCTTTCCAGTTGTCCTCCATCGTAGTTTTTTGTTCTTTCATTAGATCCTGTAGAGCTTGGAACCTGTTGTTGAGAATTATCTTGAATTCTTGGAGTTTGTCAGCATCTCGAAGGAAGGCTGTATTAAACCTTTGTAGTGCTGTTTGTCCAGTTGTCCAGTCTTTCTTAAGCTTCAGTCTCATCTTGGCCACAACCAGGTGGTGATCTGAAGCTATGTCAGCTCCTCTCAGGGTTCTTACATCTTCCATTGATCTTTGGAATTTTTTGTAGATACAGATGTGATCTATCTGGTTCTCTGTGGTATGGTCCGGTGAGATCCATGTAGCTTTGTGTATGCGTTTGTGTGGGAATATTGTGCCGCCTATAACCAATTTGTTGAAAGCACATAGATCATGATCAAAGAAATAATAAGGTCC